ATATATATGCATATTAAAGCATTTTTATATATACATGCATATATGAAAAGAAGAAAAACCAAAAGTGTATATCAGACAGCACTTTAAACCTCTTCTTAGAATAAAGGACGATTAAAGACAAGATAGATATAGAGAAAGCAGTCAGAATTCCTCAAAACTTAGAACATGATTAAAGATCCAGAATAGGCAAGAACAATCATAATGGAAAAATGTAGGAAGATAGAGGATTTTCGCAAAGGTAATAACACCATAGATATGTATAAAGAGATTATGGCTCTGATCAGTAGGTTTCAACTTAAACATTTATAAAGTACAGTGATCAGAGTCATAATTTTGAAATGTAGAGAGATGATAAACGAAAATGGATGAATGTGTATGGAGGTATTTTACAACAGGCAGCCAAATCTACAACACAGAGGAATGGCCAAAGAACAGGAAGAGAATTCCAATCCAGTATTTACGGCATTCCGTTTCTTACTTAGCCATGATACAAATATCACTTTGAACCTTATCAGGAAACGTCTAGGGAGAAAATGGAACAAGAGCCTTCTGCAAGTCAAGCAGGCTGGAAAAGCAGGACAGGATATTTATTTATTCAAATTTCTGTCATATACATACATCATTACAAACAAACTTGCAAAACAATAAAAACAAGGCAAAGAAAGACCAAACAGGTGATAGATACGTATGCAAGTTGGTCAATCCATTATAGTAAAGATATAAACAGAATAATTGCACTCTACAACAGGAACATCCACAAAAAAGCGACCAACTACAAACATTTTCAACATCAAAGTTATTAAATGTAATTTAATTATTAAAGCTGTTATATTTAACCTCGGAACAAAGAAGGCGCCTTATGACCTGATTGGATCGGATTGGATTGGATTATACAAAACTGCAGAGAATACAACCAAGATTTATAAATCTGCTTTATAGACTACTCGAATGCTTTCGGCTGCATGTTTCCTAAGGAACTGGATGGTCATGAAGACTATGGAGTTTCCAAAGAAAGCACACCAATCTTCTCTACACGTATTGTGGAATGAGCGACTGAGTCGAGAACGAGATGTCAAGGGTTTATCTGTATTCTTTCCATATCTTCATAATACCGTAAAGTGTAAGTCATAGTTCGTGACAAAAGTTTGCTCCTACCAACAGCCATGGACTATACTATGTTGCATAAGTTTAAGCCTACCTTACCACTGAGATGATATTCCTAACACTCTGGTTTACGAACTTTCTCACTTACGAACTGTGTTCGGACGGAGGGATGCGTAATTGGGATATGTTGCTACATACTCAGATTAAGACTCAAAATAAAATACTTTAATAAGATCTATAATATACAAATTAGGTATGATAATTTAGATTTGGTTTTATGATGATTCTCGTTACTTCGTAATGATCAAGATAAAATCGTGTTTAAGCCTATTCTACAGTACCTTTCCGCAAGCTATCTTGTCTTTACAAGTCAACAACGCTATCAACTTTAGATTTCAAAACGGTTATCTCTCATTCAAATTTGAAACGAATATGTAAACAATTATAATCGGTTTAATTGTCCAATCATTATTGTGAACGCACCTCTGAGCACCATAGGTTTGAAAGTGTATGTTCAAATTAGATTAATAACGACAAGTTAGATTGTGGGTCTTGTCAAACTACTTCCAACCGGCACTAATGGATCTTTTTGGAATTCTGTTCTTATGCGTATTTGTTTCTGTAGCGAAGGCTGGTAGGTAAATCGTTGGTGCTAAATGAGAAAAACTATTTTGTATAACATATTTTTAAATGGTTGATTGGGTTGTATAGGTTGTAATATTTTATAGAACATTAACAGAATCTATACTAAGTTAGTTTCAAATTGTTGGTTAAGATCTATATGAACTATGTCGGCCTAATATTCTCAGTAAAACCACCAGGGAGAATTTCAACACAAAGCTCAACGCAGTTTTTTTTTCTTGCTTTTGGTGACACGTTTAAAAGCTAAACTTTTATAGACATATTCAGTAATGGCTTCTAAAGTTTTTCGTGTTCAGCTAATTAATGTAAATTTGTAAAACTTTTATAAATATGTTTTCGTTTTGAACATTCACTGTAGAAACAGCGTGGAAAGCAAAGCTGTAAGCTGACACGTGACACGTTTAAAGCTAAACTTGTTTAGACATATTTTAGTGTGCTTGGAAAATTGACATGTTTAGCATTGAATGTGCTTAGCTATTTGAAATTATGACATCGAATACATAAACACATTGACTGCTAAACACGTCACTAGCCTAGAGGTACTATGTGGCTTTCATTAATCAAAATTTACTTTTAGAATTCTAATGATATCTTGAGATTTGTCATTTTGCCTCTCGTTTATTTACGTTTTGAGAAGTTTTCTTTCTGTCACCCTGTGGTATTGAGTATTAATAAGCAAAATGAGCTAAATAAATTGAAATGATTGAAAAGCACGTGTTAATAATACCCCCACCAACAGACATTACGCAGCCTGGTCCAAATGCCACTGGGAAAGCGAGGCGGGAGGGGCCTAGGTAGAGGTAAAGCTCAGGTTTTTTGAAACAACAGGCTAGTGTAAGTTTAATTTTTTTTAAATAACTGATAGAATATTTAAAACTTGTTTTATTTATCAAACTTTCAGCGGATGAGACGGTATGCTACACTGACCTAGGTTGCTTTGATAAGGGGTGGCCATTTTATGACTTCCCCGACCGACCTATAAGTTACCTACCACACACAAGAGAAGAGGTCGGGACTGAGTTCCAATTGAACACAAGACGCAACCCAGTTATACCTCAGTACATATCTGCCAACAACCTAACCTCCATCAGTAAATCGTTGTTTAATCCCAAAAAGCCGACAACATTTATCTGTCACGGATACGCAGAAAACTCGGACGTTGATTGGGTTAAAGAGCTAGGCACAACTTTCTTAAACAATGAAGACGTAAACATCATTCGAATCAACTGGGAGAAAGGTGCATCCATTCTATATGGACAAGCAGCAGCAAATGCTAGAATCGTTGGGGCAGAAGCTTCATTTTTGATTGATCAATTAAAGGTGATGAATATATTTTGTACGAGATACATAAAGTCATATTATTATTATCATCATCATGATTTATTTTATTTCAGTTTTGTTAACTTAAACTTATGTGTATTGTTTATGTTTTTCTGCTATGTTGATCATTATTGAATAAATGTACTTTTGAATCTTCAACCTTGATAGTCATCACAGACCATTACATCATCGTCAGCATCGTCATCATTATCAACATTTACATCATTATCATTATAATTTTTATTATTATTATTATTATTACTAGGCCTATTATTATCATTTATGGCAGCATTGCCATTAGTTATTAATAATTTTAAATATCTTTGCTATTGTTTGAGTTCAGAAATTCTATGGCTACAGTGCGTCCAGCATCTACTTAATAGGCCATAACCTTGGGGCGCACATAATGGCGTACGCTGGAGAAAGACAGACCACACCAAAGATTGGTAGGATCACAGGTAAATCAATGTTCTACAATTTTATTGTAAATTAGTATATAATGAATAAATAATTCATGAAAGTATGTTAATCAAGAGAATAATAATTAATACCATCCGGGCTTAAAATAATGCCGCTTCCATAATAATTCCGCCGCCACCCCTTTCCCCACTCCAGTGAATCCGATCCGACCTCTTTGTAAGTACAAAGTGAATTTGTCACTCTATATGTCGATCTTATTAAACAAAGATCGGAGTTCCTTGTGAAATCGAGACCATAGGTCAAATTCACCAAGATTTTGTGACCAGGGCCCCGGGACCTAATTCACTATCGATTAATTTAGGCTGATGATGGTCATAGTGGGCTGAAATCCATGTGACACTTGCGTACAGTATTTAAATAGTTACCACCAAACTATCCCGATTTATTGATAATTATTTTATTATTTGTTGTCTTTTTTAATAAAAGGTCTAGACCCGGCAGGCCCATATTTTGACGGGACTACCCGAGCTGTTAGATTGGATACAACAGATGCAGAGTTTATTGATGTCATTCATACAGATACGGACCCTGTATATACCACA